ATGATTATGATCGAAAATTCCATTGTTACTGTCTCGTGCTCTTTCACAATCTTCCACTTTTTTACCACAAAAATAGCACCACAATTGTGAACATTTCGGACAAGTCATATGTGTACAAGCACCATCTTTCATACCAGCTAAACCACAAGTTGGACAAGGCATTTTTTGACCTAATTCAACATATCGATCAAGTTCATGTTTATCGTCAGCTAATTCAGCACATTTAAAATGTTTTTCCATTTCAGCGATTTCTTCATCCGTAGCATAGTCATCTTCAATTTTTGGACAAGCTTTTCGACATATTAAACAGGATACTTTACCACACTCTGGATGATCACAATAGAATATATATGAAGCATTAATATTTCGTATAATCGCATTTGTACAAAATGGACAATCATCCAGACGTTCATCTTCGCCAAGAAAGTTTTTTGCAAAAGCTAATCTCAACATAAGACAATTATAAATTTCAACTTGATCTGGTGTTAGTTGTCGTTCGAATACACTGGATATCAATTCAATATGGCATTCGAGACAACGCAATGGTATGTAGTTTTCTGGCTCAGAAAAAACCAACCGAACGATATGAGTTGAACACTCGGTGCAATAATGATGTCCTTGCAAACATTGTATACCAGGATGATCAGGTTCTAAGTCACCTCCACAAGCTCCACAAGTAATTGTCTTGTTTTTACTTTTCGTTGCTGTGGATGTCAAGTGAGGTGAGCCTGTTCGAGTTGTCATTTTTGTATGAAATGTTTTTAAGAGAAACTGCAGTGGCAAATGTGCGCACGGAAGTGAAGAAGAATTACCTATGAAAAGAAAAGAAAAGAAAAATCCCACAGTAAAAAAACCTTCGATACGACGGCAGAGAAAGAAACACGAGAACATTCTTTATATTTTATTGAAACGTGTAAGTTGGCAGTTTCCCTGTTGACTGATACGGCAAAAAAACAACAAATGTGACTAATAGTTATGACGTGTTTACTGCTTCATGAACATATATGCGTAATTACCTAGTATGACACTGATGTCGTACTTTTTTTCTTTGTAAATTCAAGCAAAAATAAAGAAAAAGCCAAGAGTACCTAATTAAAAATGAAAATAATTAGTTGGCTGATTGCCATCGTATAAAGTCACGACACCATGGGATACTAATGAACCAATGAAAGTCCTAGAGGTAAGTGCCAAAACATAAATCAATTGCTTTCGACTTTGTAAGCGAAAATCATAGACGTCGAGAACATGATGTATAACATCAACGACTTCTAATCTTTAAGTCTATCTAAAAATAATTTCATTGAATTATGTGACGAATATTTTCTGAAAAAGTTTGAAAGGTTTTTCTTCTCATTATAGAAAACTGAACTCAACTTGAAATTCTCTTTTTCAATATCACACACGTGCATAACTGCACGCTGGTGATTTTGTTTTGTTCTGTTTTCTGGGTAAGTTTTTATTGCTGCAGAATTTGTTTTTAAATTTATTACATAGTGATGAAAAGTTCTACAATGGAATCGAAACGATAATAACAGAACGAGAACAAATTCTTTTTCGAAGTGTATCAAAACATATTTTTATAGTAAATATATATTTAAAATATGTAATGAGTTGAATGTTTTGCTTGTTCGTTCTCTTTGCTTTCATGAATGAGAGTCAACCAATGCTCTAGTTGGAAATTTTACGAAATACCTCATTCTCATGTCTTCCTAATTCTGACAATTTTTTGGCTTAAGTGCAGTTTATACTTGTCGATTCTTGTTTTTCATAATTGAAATTATGGAATATTGAACGTATTAAACATTTCCTACGTGTTTCTAATTTTGAATTTCATTTCTTTAATGAATCACACTGTTTTGTGAAACACAGAACTATAGTAAATATAAGTTTTAAGTTACAAATATATGGCTGATCTCTCTGTTTCATAAGAACATGGCGCATTAGGATGGAAAGTCGACGAGCATGTACAAGAAACGAAGATAATATTTATTCAAGGCCTTCCTAGCAGAGGACTAGGCCTACTAGAAAGTAAATTACCCTTGTACAATTTCCAAAAAAAATAGGATTTTGGGTTACGATGCAAATATAAATTTATAGTCACGACAGCAACGGTGATTCATAACTGTAGTAAATATTTTTGACGCTGCACAATGTTATGGAAAACGTAATTTACTACAATATCCGACGTTTTATTGATCTAAAAATACTCTTGATACTCTTACCTGAATTACTCGATCAATGAAGTTTTCAGTCTTCACATACAAATATTTATAACGTCTTTTTGATGGCCCAGATTTTCGAGCATGAATTTTACACTAGCATTTCTGACATAAAACTTCAGTCACTACAGCGCGTGCACGCTTGTATCGGTATGTTTCGAAGAGCAAAAATTGAAGTATTGCTCACGAAACAATATTTCAAATAGAAATTCAATTACTCTACAACTTTACTAGTGTTATGCGAATTTATTTTTAACGGAAGAGTAATCAATTGGATTTACGAATACCAATGGATGCAGATAGATCAATAAACAGAAGCGCTTGTGTAAGGTAAGCCTTCGGAAGATAATGATAATGAATAAGCACACACGTTTATCAGATTTAGAGATCTAGAATATACTTTTTTTTTGTTTCATATTTGTTATGGCAGAAACATAGAGTTCGAAATTCAATTATTACAGTCTAGTTTAACTGATCTGTGGGTATTTAATTAAAGTGTGATCCTCCTCAAGAATTTCTTCATATGTAAAACCACATGTAGTAATTGTATTAAAATGATCGTCCACCTGTTTAATACGTTCTTCACCAAGTTTCTCAAACGCTTCCCGTAACAAACGTAACGATCTGTTACGGTGAAGCATAGCTAAACATTCAAACTCATCCTCAGGCCATCGATTATCCAATTCGCTTAATTGAGTTAAATACATTGGACATCGCTTAGGATTACGCTCCCAATTATGATTATGATCGAAAATTCCATTGTTACTGTCTCGTGCTCTTTCACAATCTTCCACTTTTTTACCACAA